GAATTCGGTTCTCAGTGGCTGCGCTCGATCTTCCGTTTGGGAGCAGACGCCGAGGCTGTTGGATCAGATCCGCGCGGAGGCGGCTGTCGGGTTTTTTGGGGAAGCTCCTGTTCAGGGTTTAGGATTTAGGGTTTAAAGTTCCTGGGTTTTAGGGTTTTTTCGGTCTCTGAGGGCTTAAAGGGTGCCGGGTTTCGGGTTTTTGCTCCGAGCTTTGGGGAGGATTCGTTGTTGGAAGTTTGTCGTGTCCGTTGTTTGGTGAACTGCTGTGTCTGGCGATGTTACATGTTTTTGGTTCAGGGTGGATGGCTTGAGTGGCGCGTGCTTCTGATTGGTGAGTTTTTGCTTCGATCGCTGGAGTGCTCTAGAACCGACGCCCTATCGACCTTGCATGACCTAAGGGTGGCTTTATCAACACCGAAGCCCAGACCCGACGTAAACCCGATACCCGAAGCCCTAACTCCGCGAAGCTCGGACCCTCATGCAGGATGGCGGTGAAGGATCTCTGGGTAACAGCTGTAGAACCCGAATACTGCACAGGGCACCCTCAGAGAAAACCTCACCCCTATACCCTTGAAGCCCCTACAAAGCTCCTGCATGATGAGTTGGCAGGGCGTGCAGCCAACCACCATCACCTACAGTGCCGCCATCAGCGCCCACGAAGGTCAAGGGTTCTGGGAGTCGGCCTTACACTACTTGGAACCCTGGCGATGTACCCAGACCACCAAGAGGAAAAACTCTACATGTCCCTAAACCCTAAACCCTAAACCCGACCCTAATTTAGAGAACTACCCAAGGACACGCAGTCTGGCTCCCTAGAAACCGACAATCTGCTCTGAGGAAGAAGCAGACAGCCAGAATTTGCACCCGACTCTCGTCACATGCGGGGTGGCCACTCGCTTAAGGAAGGCTGAGCCTGGTAGGGGGGAAGCGGTTTTGGAACGAGGCGACTACCGGGGTTGAGGAAGGGGCAGTCTTATTGGAGTTTGGCGATGTTGGGGGGGGGCCGCTGGGTCGACAAATCTCATGGCATGGCCTGCTGTTCAGCGCCTCTAGGTTTTGGAAGGTTCAGGGCTTTGGCTTGCATGGTAGGGATTCAGGATTAAGGGACTATTATTAGGGCTTAGGAGATGTTTTAGACTTCAGATTCCTGGCTTTCGTGGGTGTACCGAAGAGGGTGTCGGGTTGACGACTTGGGGTTTTAGAGTCTGGCGTTGGTGGCGGATCATTACGGATCGCGGGTTCGATCTAGCGCGCTGGAAGTCCAGTCACACTCCTGACGAGGATGTAGCGTTTCAGGGTTTAGGTGGGGGTCATCATTATTGGCCACATATATATATATATATATATGCATGCTATAACACAACTGTTACAGAGTAGGGGCAGTAGCGCAGTTGAGGTCTATCCTATGCAGAGATGTCCCTGGTTTACTTTCAGGTACATGCTACTTCCGAGGCCCCCAGTGCCCTCGAACACCCCCAAGCCCCGCACACCCCCCCCCCCCTGCCCTAGCCTTACAAAGAAGATAGAAGACTGACTCCATGGGTAATTCATATAGAATGATAGAAAAACATACCCCCCTCCCCCCCAAACCCTAAACCCTAAACCCTTAAAAAAAAACGGCTGAATTGTCAGAAGTTTCCTAAATTAGACCCCGGAGCCCTCGATCCGAAACCTACTCCGAGCCCTCGGCCCCGAAAACCCGAAACATCTAATCTGGGTTCTTGCTAGGGGATTTAATTTATAAGTTACCACAATAAGGAAACCCTATTATTTATACTATAGATCCCTATTATGGTAACTTAAATTAAATCCCTTAACAAGAACCCAGTAATCCATCAAGTCCCGATCCTCACATGCAACGTGGGTCTGAAGAATTTGCCTGAACGTTTAGGGTTTAGGGTTCCGAATATGCCGAAGTCCACTGAGGTCAGTAAACCGTAAGGCACCTTCTTAAGAGCGCTAAAGACCAGATTCGAATTCTCAAGAGCCCTACATCTAGCCGTCCCTAGGCCATCAGCACCTGTGCAAAGGGCGCGTCCTGGCAGTCTGCCGTGGAGCTCCAGGTGGCAGTGTTTTGGGGCCTTGGGGATTTACAGGGTCTTGTTTAACTGTTAAATGGCTTCTTTTGATTTTGAGGGCTTTTTCATTCGTCCATACAGGTTTCTGTTGGTCTTTACTAGGATTTAGGGCTTGCGGGGTTGAGGGTTGAAGATTTTGAGTGTAGTAGCTGAGCCCGCATGCTAAAGCGTCAGTGTTGGTTTCTTGTGGTTTAGGGCTTTACGTTCACAGCCGTTTCAACATCCCTTATAATAGTCTAATGAAGGACGGTTGTCTTTTTGCTGGTTGAATTTTAATACTCTGTTTCGTAGGTAGGATTGGGGCGTACGTACTCCTGTCGCGATCGAGGGCCAACCCATCCTGTGGAGCAGCTAGATGGGTAGTTCTCTAAATTGGGGTCTCTTTTTAGGTCCCCGGTATGGTGCGGCACCCTTGTAAAGGGGACCATATAAGGGACCCTACTCTAGAGAACGCCGCAGCAACGGAGTGTTCTAACAAGGAGCCCCTAAATCCTAAACCCTATATACCCAAAGCCCTATGAGGGTCAGAGGGGTGTTTTGCCAGAGAGCCCCAGCTTGAGGTAGACTCCTTTCTTCAAGGACTCTGCCCTCCTGGTTCTCGGACAGTTTCGGGTCTTCGGGTATTTAGGGTAGAGGGTTTAGGGTTTAGGGCGTTTAGGGTTTCGGGTATTTAGGGTTTAGGGTTTAGGGGTTTGGGGTTCAGGGTGACCTCTTGCCCTCAGTTGAGCTGCGCAGGCCAAGACGCAGCTCTACAGGCTGCCGCCATCCGAGGTCACTCGGCCTGCAACCCTCAAACCCCCAAAGCCCAAAGAGCACCCCAAGACCCTAAGCCCTCATGAAACCCTGGCCCTACTTGTAACTCGCAAGGCTCATTAAACCCTACTTGCAACTCGCAAAAACTCCTCCTAATCCCAACCCGAAACCTCGAACCCCGAAGCTTAACTCCGATTTTCCTTACAGTAGAAGCCCCAAAAGTCGCACAGCCCACGAGCCTCAATCCCTAAGAGCACCTACAACCCCCCGAAAGTAAGTAGAATGGCCCAATACCTACGAAAGGCTATGTTTTCTACATCCTTTTTGGGATCCGGGTAGTGTACCCTAAACCCTAAAAGCCCTCTTTGGGGATCCGGGTAGTGTACTAGGGAAACTCCGGTTTCCGACCTTTTTTTGGGAGGCTTACAAAGCGGCCCCGGAAGCGCCCCAAAAAATGGCCCGAACCCAGCCTCTCCAGAGCCGGAGAGACCTAAACCACATGGTTTCTGTATGTAATGGTAGTTAATATATAGTTAATATGGTTAGTATAGTTCATATAGTTAATATAGTTAGTAAAGTTAGTATAGTTGATTTAGTTTGTATAGTTTATTGTGGTCAATATAGTTGCTTAGAAAAGGTAGGTCTTGTGGGCCACAGGTTAACAGTAAGACCCCTGCCTGACACCTGATATCCATAGCCGAAGGCTTTGGCCGTCTCGGTGTTCAGGGTTTATTGCGGAGTTCCACGTGTCTGCTGTCCTCTTTGCAGCTCGCTAAGGGTGGAACCCCGTATCCCCGACAGGACGGCCCTTAGCCCGTAAAGACACGTTAAACCCTAAACCCCTACGAAGACCCTTAAATGTAGTACCTTTTGTTGGTTACGTTAGTTTCCTTTTTAGGATCCTAGCCATAAAACAGGTCCTCCAATAAAAGGTACTACATTGAAGGGTCTAGGTAGAAGCCTTGAAGCCTAAGCCCTCTACGCCCCAAGCCCTAAACCCTAAGCCCTAAACCCTAAACCCTACTAAGCCCTAAACGCCCTAAACGTTAAACGCCCACGGAGACCTGAACCAACCCCCAGGTCAGCTGCAACTCGGCTCTGGCTGCCTACCAGCGAGCCGACGACTGGCCTAGGTAGGACACTACAGGGGGACCTTTGCAGCTAGAGGAGGGTTTAGGGAATAGGGTTTCGGGTTTAGGGGTTTAGGGTTTAAGGTTGATAAGATAAATCCTGCATTGCCCATAAATAAGGATTATACCATAATTCCCATAGTTTAGGGGTCCTTAAGGTAATTTGCAGGATGTCTATCATCAGCAGTAGGACACTCCAGGGCTTTGTAGCTAGAGGAGGGTTTAGGGGTTAGGGTTTCGGGCTTGAGGCTTCCTGTAAGGGTTAGCATATAGGGCTTTGAAAGCCTGAATAGTTACCAAATCTCAGTCCTTGGGGCCCCTTATATTGTTATTCACAGTGCAATAGGAGCCCAAAACCTTGTTCTAGTTGTTGAGGCCGCTGGATTATTGTTAAAAAGGGCCTCAAGGTTCTGTTATGAGCAGAGTTCCAATAAGGATAGCTATAGATGGGTAGTATAAGGATAAGACCCAATATAGATCTGTATACACACTATGCTATGCGGGCTCTGTGGTTCAGTGCTTAGGAGCTGTAGTTACAGTTTCTATAGGGGCCTTTGGGTTTTTGTTTTAGGGCCTCGGGGCTACAGAGACGATAGGGCTCTAGGACAGTATGAGGGGCCTGTTGACGAAACGATGAATGATGAACCTTTTCAGAAGACACGTCTCAAAGACACAGGCAAGCAAGTACTGAAAACAGTCAACGACAACAACAACAACAGCAGCAACAACAACAACAACAACAGCAGCAGCAGCAGCAGCAGCAGCAGCACCAGCAGCACCAGCAGCAGCAGCAGCAGCACCAGCAGCAGCAGCAGCAGCAGCAACACACCAACACCAACACCAACGCCCACACCCACACCCACACCCACATCGACAACGACAACAACAACAACAACAGCAACAGCAACAGCAACAGCAACAGCAACAGCAACAGCAACAGCAACAGCAACAGCAACAACAACACTCACACTCAAACGCAAACTAAGCCATAACCCTAAACTCGATAATCCGCATCCTTATCCCTATCTCAGCTCTTGAGGTCCGTCTTGCTGCTGGACGAGATGCGAGCCCGCAACGCAATGCCTTCCATCATCTCCTACAGCACTGCCGTGCCTGGGTCGGGTTTAGGGTTTATTGATGTTGAATATAGGGTTTAATTGGCGTTTGTATGGGTTCTTCATTTTGAATAAATAGAGTTTGGGGCCTAGGGTATAACGACTTTATGGAGTCTTGGTGGGGACGATTTAGGATTTTAGGAGTTAGGATTCAACTGCCCTTTACAGTAGGACTTGAGGTTTAGGATGTGGATTTAAAGGAGGGTTTAGAATTTGGATTTTAGGGTGTGAGGATTTAGGATTGCAGGGTCCAGGATTTAGCATTTAGGATTTCCGGGTGTTAGGATTTTAGGATTTAGGAGTTTAGGATGTTGAATTTAGGATGTAAGGATTTCGGATTTAGGATTTTAGGAGAGGAGTCCTCCTTCTTCGTGAGTGCATGCTCTGAACCCTTTTAGGTTTTCAGCATTTAGGGATTAAGGTTCAGGACTTAGGATTTAGGATTTAGGATATTAGGGTGTTAGGAATTTAAGATTTAGGATTTTAGGACTTAAAATTTCGGATTTAGGGGTCAGGAGTTAGGAATTTGGATGTTAGGATGTAGGACTTTGGGTGTCGGATTTAAGACGCGGACAGTTGGGGTTGATTTTGGTTGATCATGCCCTGCGTATTAAGATGGCATGTTTAATAGGGCCGAGTGCCCATGTCGAGGTCTTTTCCTTGTTCTTGTGTCCGTGCTCTGAACCGTCTTGAATCCTAAAATCCGAAAATCCTCGAGTCCTAAATAGTTAAATTATACATCTTAAATCCTAAATGCTAAAGCCCAAACACTAAATCCTAAACACTAGAATCCTAAATCCTCAGGTTTCTAGGGTTTGAATGATTCAAACGAAAAGCTCGAAGGGCCGAGCAGGCCCTTCCATGCCGCAGGCCCGAAAACGGCCGAGGCTACTCCCAGCCGCAGTCGCAACCAAACCCGAATGTTAGGATTTTGGGATTTCGGATTCTAGGATTTAGGATTTCAGCATTTAGGAATTAGGGTTCAGGATTGAAGTTTTTTTATCAGGATTCAAGGTGTCGGATTTAGGAAGCGGAAAATTGGGGTTGATTTTGGTTTATCATGCCTTGCTTGCAAAAATGCCATTTTTGATGGGGCCGAGTGCCCATGTCGAGGTCTCCTCCTTCTTCTTGTGTCCGTTCAGAGACCGCCTTGAATCCTAAATTCCTAAGCTCCTCGAATCCTAGATCCCAAAATCCTAAATCTTAAATCCTACATGCCTCATCCTAAATACTAAAACCTAAACACCAACACCCATTTCTAGTGCTGGAAAAGAAAATTCATACAAACAAAAACTTGACGGGCCGAGCAGGCCCTGCCATGCCGCAGGCCCGAAAAGGGCCGAGGCTACTCCCAGCCGCAGCCGCAGCCAAACCCCAACATACTGAAACTGATCGTTTCCCACGGGCCTAGGACCTGCAAGAGTAAGTAGTTCCAATATCACCCAAGAATAGAACTAATGCAGACAAAAATAAGCCAAGAAACCTTAAACCCTAATAGCGTATGGTTTGGGTGGCCGGGGTGGGTTTACTGGCCATGCGAGCGCACGCGCCCCAGGGTGCTTCACACCAGAGCGCGCACCCCCGCCTGAATCGCCCTAAACCCTAAACCCCTATAAACCTGAAGCCCTAAGTCCTAAAACCCTAAAGCCCTAAACCCTAAACCCTAAACAGGACCCTCTTTGAAACAAAGCAGCTCAGGTCGGGTCTTGCTCGCAGTCTGGATGGTGGCAGGTTGCCTGCAGCTTCCAGGATCTTGTTGAGGAATTCTGAATTCGGTCATGTTTTATGGGTTTTTCACTGCTCCCGCGCCTCTTCAGGAGTAAGGAACCTGATTCGCGTCGCGTTTTTGTGGGGTTTCATACTGCTCCCGGGTTTCTTAAGGAGTCTAATTGGGCAGTGTAGAGCTTCCGTGAGAAATCAGAACTCAGGCTTGCTTGGCGAAGCTCGGGAAGACAACCTGGACATGAACGTCGTCATCTACAACTCCGCCATTAGCGTGTGTGGCTGGCCTACCCGATTGTTGGTGCATGTACATATATATATATATATGTATGTATGTATGTATGTATGTATGTATGTATGTATGTATGTAGTACATGGTGTAGACTTTGGTCGTAAAGAGGTTCGTAATTTGGAGCCAAGCACCGTGTCGAATCCCATGCGGCTCAACATCCTGCTTTTAGAGGCATTTCCGGAGGATCAGCATGTGCTTGAATTTTTCAAGCCCCGGAACCAGATCTTCAGACCTTTCGGGTATTTCGATTTCAAGGGTGTTCCTTCAACCTCACACAACCTCCCTTTGTTTAGGGATTCTGCAAGGAACTCATAATAAGGAACCAGAATAAGCTAGGTTCCAAGGGGTTTCAGGTAGTGCTTAGGGCTTGTACTTCACTTTTGACATGTAGTTAGTTGCAGGTCCCTGCAAGCTCTACTGACTGCTGCTGGCTTACATTAGGGTTTCTTGCTCCGAGATGATATAAGGAACCAGCTCCGAGAAACCCAAAATCCTAAACCCCCATGCTTTCTTCACAAGTTAGTTATGAGGACCCATCAGAGTCCCTCGAGCCTTCAACCAGAGAACTCACCATCAACAGCATGTCGCCCAACCACCCGCGCGGTTCCGGCTTTGGGGTGTAGAGTTTAGGTTTTCGGGGCCTGACAGACAGTCGACAACGCTGGGGTAAAAACTGAAAGTCCTCCACTAGAACCTGGACTGTGAACTAAACGCTTAACCCTAAACCCTGCAATCCTAACATAGGCGTCGGAATAGTTGGCAATAGCTTTCTAGTCCTTCTGAATTTGGTATGAACACAACCCCAACGGTATTCTAAATATTAAGGCCTCTATATCAAAAGCAAAAACCTCAAAGAACCTGAAACCCCTTAGCTCGTGAGCACAGATCCCGAACGAAGCCTTGAAAGAACCCTTACGCAAAGCCCTTTTCGGGTGAGGGTCTAGGGATTAGCCCAGAAAGCATGGACTTCTTGCGTTTCTCAGCAAGCTGGACAAGTTTTCAAGCCACTCTATGTACACTCTGAAACTTAAGCCCTATAAACCCGTATAGAATCCCTATAGAGCCCTTAAAGGCACCACCCCCTAGGTGAAAAGGGGGAGGAGTGGCAAAGAGCGCTGATGTTGCTGGAAGAGGCTTCGTACCTCAAGGCGATCAGAATGCACCATGTAGAAGCCTGGACCTGGACTCTTGCTAGAAGGAGCATGATCGTTGTTTGAGAAGCGATTCAATATTCATGTGTACAATAGTTACACATATATGTTACTCCATAGGGGCTTCGCAACCCTGTTGTTAGTTGTTACAATTGCGGCCTCCCTGTACCAGGCGTTCTACGTATGAGACCTTCGATGCCCTGAGCCCTAAACCCTTAGGGCCCGAGTGCCCAAATAGTAAGGTTTCCATACTCTGGATGGTTTTTGGGACCTTGAAACCCTACTATTTGGGTACTTGGACCCTTCGGGTAAACCCTAAAAGATTCTGGTGCAAGGGTCTGGGATTGAGGCTCTGGGGATAAAGGTTTGGGGTTTCAGAGAGCCGGAAATTGAAGCTTTCGGGCTTGGGTGTTCAGGGTTTAAGTTTGAGTTAGGCTTAGGAGCCAAGAGCTTAGGGCCGTTTAGGCTGTAGGTTTAGGGTTTTGGGTTTAGGGTTTAGGGTTTAGGGAAGAGTTTTGAAGGTTTCGGGTTCTAGGAGTCTTACGATTTTTAGGCTTCTTGGTATTTGCCAAACCATAGCCATAGCAGCGTTCAAGTGCAATTACAAGCTTCGCCCTATGAGCTGATTGGATCCTCCTGGATATTCGCGTCGTTCACTAAAGTATTTACAGCATACTGTATACTTGTACGTACATATATATATATATACCAACCCATTCCAATGTTTATGCCTTTACGGAAACGGAACCGCGAAAGCTGCAGATATAAGATGGGTTTCATGTAGAGACATCTGAAGAGGGTTTGGGTTTAGGGTTTGGGAGTTCTGCAGTGTTCCAAATCACATGTTCTAGGCATCACAGGGTTGCGAGGACCGTGAGCCTGGCCAACAAGCTGGGATTTCACTCGGGTAGCTTTCAAAATTAGGATCTTTTTTACAGCACCCCAGCACCCCCAAAAGGGACCCTAATTTAGAGAGGTACCCACTTATGTTTGTGGGCCATGGAGTGGTACACACAAGTCCTCAACAGCCGTGGTATATGCCGTGGTATAAACAAGCCTGACTCTAAACCCTTAACCCTAAGCCCTAAGCCCTAAACCCTAAGCCCTAACCCCTAAACCCTAAACCCTAAACCAAACCTCAAGCCCCAAGCATCGATGTCGGCAAATTCGGGCTTCGGATGTCCAGGCTTCGGGCTCAATGGTTATAGTAAGCCCAAAGAGTTGGAAACTGGATTAAGGGAAATTTGTGCACTGGGATTCCCTATACATTGCTCTTTTAGGGTTGAGGCTATTCGGTTTCCAACTTTTGGGCTTCTACTATAGAGAAACATCTCCAGGTGCAGCTGGATGTGATCTCTTACAACTCGGCACTCAGCACATGTGGCAAGGCCCCGCCAGTGCAGCTCACTCCTATTCTCGTCTGCGTCGCTGCACACAGTGTATCGATGCCCTCCAGCCCGCCATCACACCGTGGCCATCATGGAATCATACGAGGACCGCAGTAAAGCTGTAGATATTCGCCGCAAAACACGCATATAGTAGTTGCATATTGGTTCAGGGCAGCGGTTGTATGAATGTACCTGATGCAAGGGGTTCTTTGTTGGCTTTAAAGTTAGCATAAGGGCCTCAAGAATTCGGACAGGGTTTTTATTGGTATAACAATCTTATGGTGGCAACAGTGGCAAGTACAAGGTGAAGCTTTGTACCAGCGGCAAGTAACCACCGCCAATATTCGTCAGACGTACATATCCTAGAGCGAAGGATCAGAGGCAGAGCTCGATATCAAACCTAGTTACTGAACTGAGCTCCCTCAGCTGCCAAGAAGATACTGAGTCCCCGTCAGCTTTCCAGCACTGCATGCATTATCCACTACTGCAATACGTGTAGGAGGCGCCCGTTAATGCAGGTTTCTGTCCATCAGCAGCATGTGGCCTTGTTCCGTTTCCAAAAAGATCCGAAGTAGGTACTACCAACTTTCTGACACAAACCCTAAGCCCCTTATCTATCCCCAAATACTGCAGACCTTTAACCAATGAACCCCAAAGCCAAATGCTTAAACCACCACAACACACATATATATATATATAATACAATATGCATACCTATGGTATGTATATATATATATATTTATTTATTTATTTGTTTATTTATTTATATGTGTATACATTATAGAAATGACACAGCAGGCCATGGAATGGCAAGCAGCACTGGGCCTCTGGACTCATCTGCAGCGGAAATGCTTGAAGTCGCTGGGACTTTGCTCAGCAAAGCTTTCTGGCTAATGCGAGTCCGTACCCCGAAACAAGGCCCCCGAAACCATGATACGTTTATATGAAGGTTTGTAAATTTCAATCGTGCGGCAAGAGTACACATGCAGATTGTAATCACGAGCTCGTAGGAATTTTCAAGAGCTCTGACGCCTGAAAGACATGTAGCCTTCTGCTCTGAAGCAATCAGCCCCGCTGTCCTGGGGGTCCTAGAGGCCACATGCACCCAAATGCTCCAAGAGACTCCAAATCCACTCAGTTGAGACGATTCCTTCAACCATCATAAGAAGCCATATGTTGAAGGATATTATATACATACAGGGACATATGTATGTATGTATGTATGTATGTATGTATGTATGTATGTATGTATGTTTGCATGCATGCATGTGCATATATATATATATATACACTCATGCATACATGTATGCATGTGTGTATATATCTGTATGTCCGTGTGTTATGTGTATCTCTGTCACACGTATGTATATATATATATACATAGAGAGAGAGGTGTATGTGTATATATATATATATATCCAAATTGCATAATCTGAAGGAACTGACAAAGTCAATCTGGAGTGACCCCCGAACCCTATCACTACTAAGTCTTCATTGTCTCGGTGGGCCTTGCGTGGACTTTGATCTACATGCTCAGGGACATTTGGGTTCTCCGAGAAGTGCAGTACACTCTATGCTTGACGTTGAAGCTGGTGGGGAGGCTAGATGTCCTTAATAGGTACTGTTTACAGATCTTTCGACTCCAAAGTAGACATGTTGTGTACACTTGGCGCCCCAGGGTCGAGGACAGCTGATTTAGAAGCCTTACATGCTAAACCCTAAACCCCAAAATCCTCAACCCTAAACCCTAGACCGCTAAACCCTGAACCCGAAATCCCAAACCCTAAACCCTAAACCGCTAAACCATGCAGGCCAACGATTGTCACCCTGAACTCCGCCATCACCGCCTGCGAGCGAGCCGCCCTCTGGCAGCTAGCTCTCCACTTGCTGCAGGAGGCGACCTGGCTTGAGTTGCTGTTGGGGTTGAGGGTTTAGGGCTTAGGGATTGGCGGGAATGCTAACTAGAATAGGGCTTCTGCGAACTGCTTTTCTCCCTAAAGCCTAAGCCGGATCTACGACAGCTCAGTATTCCGGATTGGGTCTCAGGGTTTTGCCTTGGGGTCTGAAGGGTTCCGGGTTTAGAGTTTAGGGTTCAGGAGTTTAGGGTTTAGGGCTCAGGGTTTAGAGTTTAGGGTTCCGGGTTTATAATTGCACTGAGGTCTTGGTGTTGTCAGTTGTGGTTAAGGCACAAGGCACAACAGAGCAGAAAAATCACACCCTCCTAAACCCTAATAGCCTAATAACCTGAAAACCCTAAACCCAACCCCAAACCCTAAACTGAACCCCAAACTAAGCCCTACACCCGAAACCCTAAACTAAGCGCCAAAATCCTGCAACGAGGCCCTGCATTGCTGCGACCCTCAACGGAAAACATAGGATAAACCCAGAAGCTTTAAGCTCCTTCAGGCAAAAGTATCCCAACACTCAACCCTTATGACTTCTGGATTTATAAATCCAGAAGTCATAAGGGTATTAGGTCATGTTACAAAACTAGACAACCCTTTTAGATGCCCTCAAACCCCAACCTCACTCTGTGCCTTGAGGCAGATGCTGCCGTGCTTCATAAGGATGGTATTACCTTCAACTCAGCCGCCCTGTTCTGGATTGGTGCTGCTGCTATAGTTGTACCAACCGTCATAGTCGTTTACTATGATTACGGTCATTGTTGCTATTTCTTAGTGTGTTGGTCAAAACTGCATAATTACATATTTTATTAATTAATTGTTCAACTCTGTCGTTAATGCCATGAAACTGCTGTGGTATGTGTGTTATGTCTTGGCTCTCTTGCTGCTAGTGTGAGTAATACTACTTATGACGTGGTTACCGTGATCTGTCATTGCCACTGCAGGATTGACACAACATGTGTTGTACATGTGTTCTTCTGTTGTTGTGAGGGGGCGGAGAGGAGGCTTGGTTTCCCGGGATTACTTGGTACTACAATACTACAATCTCGGCTTTAGCTTGTGTTTGCTTTTGGGGCTCGATGTCAGAGCTGTGACTGAAAAAACAGTGCGGTCGCCCAGAGACGGGCTTCACTGGCATTTTAATGCACTATGACTCGATACCTGCCAACGCAGACTCCCAAAGCTCACGATACACGATTTTGTTACCAGCCAGCCTTAACCTGCACTTATAGGGCGGGTAATCCGGAACCCCAAACCTTCAACCCCAAATCCAGAAACTGAATTGCGGGGTGTTTCACGTAGATTTCTCCAAACCCCTAAACCTAACCCCCTAAACCCTTAAACCCTAATCCCCAAGCCCTAGACCCCTAAACCCCTAAACCCTAAACCCCTAAACCCCTAAAAGCATCAGCAACTTCATTAGCGAGAACATATATATATATATGGCCTTGTAAATTATCTTAAACTCTCTCTCTCTCTCTCTCTCTCTCTTTATCTATATATATATATATAAATAAATGTTTCTCCACAAACATGTATGAAGATATATATCTCTCTGTGTGTTGCAACGCAGACCCTGAATGACCGAATAGGTTCCTGGAAACACGTGCAAGCCAGATGAGAGTCCCAAAGGGTCCTAGGTACTGTTACGGGTGGGATACTTCCCCAAATCATAATAGTACCCAGAGGCTCCAAAGTAGTTCCT